GCCACAAAGAAGAGGGAGTCAAACTATTCTCCAAAGCACCTGAGGGTAGAACAAGAAGCAATGGGTGAAAACTAAGGAGAGAAGCAACTTAGAACTGAGGAGAAATTTCCAAACAGAACAATTAATCAGTGGAACAGTTTGCCTCCAGAAGTTGTGAATGCCCCAACACTGGAAGTCTTTAAGAAGATGTTGGATAGCCATTTGTGTGGAACGGTATAGGGTTTCCTAGCTAGGCAGGGGGGTGGACTAGAAGACCCTCGAGGTCCCTTACAACTCTGCTATTGTATTGTACTGTAAGACAGTAGAATTTCTTAGATTATTCATTTCATTAATACAATGTGTTGTAATTTATTATCCAAAAGTAAACTACCCAAGATATATCAGGCAATATGTGTGTATTTATATTTTTGTAGATTTTACTTTCTAATCTCACAGTATAAATTTCCTTTCATGAAAAGACTGTATTAGGAGAAACACTCTTCCTGTAACCAAGAAACAAATGTAATATTTGTTAATAAAATAAAATTAAAAAATTAAGATACAATAAAATGTATATGCTTTACCTGAATTGTTTACAAACAGTTGTTCAGCTTTCTCTTGTTTAATAATGGTCATAAAATGTGTAAATTGCCATGACATGTCAATGAGTTGCAGACACTCTTTTAAAACTGCTATATTATAAAATGGCATATTGCATATAAGAATATTTAAAATCCCTGTGAATCCCATGATTATTTGTAATATGTTACAGGAATAAAAAATAAATTACAAAGTTATTTTTTACTAGCTTTATAAAATTTTATTTTTTTTATAGTTTATCCCTAGATTGCTCACCCAATAAACTTTCTGTCAGTGATCATGACTCTGGTGTGGAAGATGATGCATCTCCAAGACCATTTCCCCGTCCTCATCCCATCAATCAACCGGTATATTCTAGATTTCTTGCCTGAAACCAGTCACAGTAAATTAGCTTTACAGTATTTATTTTGAGTAACTAATATTACCCATATTCTGGTTCAGAGTTCTTACAAATAAATGTTATGTCATAATCCTGCCACTAGGTTGTACTACAGGACTCTTAACCCTTTATTGCTGCTTTATCTTCAAATTAAGTTTGAAAAAGGCACTTTCTTAGGACTCTGCATAACTATGCTGTGGGAATATGCAAAACATAGTAAACTAGCTGAACCATGGCAAAATTACTTGACTCAATTAAATAGGGAGGTGTTCTCACACCATATTGACACAAGAGCTAGTAAAAGTGTGGATATACTGATATGCTTACTAAGAACTTAAATGAATGCCAACTGAATTGAACTGGTGTTTCTTCTTATTTCTAAACTCAAAGTGAATCAGTAATAGAAAACCCAAAGCTGCAAACATTAAGTTTTAGAGTGTTACATTGGGTAAATCATTTTTACAGTGTCTTTTTCGTCATGTTCTCCTCACATTAAGCCCTTGCACTTATTTTAGGCCTCATGGTAGAGACATACTTTTGTTACACCTTACTTTATTTCTCTGCACTAAGTTCTATTCAGGGTGTAGCTGATGAGAGAAAAATACTTCAGATTAATTTGGTAAACTAAGAATTCATACATATTTTTTATTTTTGAACTGTTTTGGTTTCCAGATGACTGAGATCCATCCTTCAGTTCCTGAATTGTCCATTGTACTTGAAGGCATCTCCATAGAATCTGTACCAACATCTAAACATGCTGTGATTAAAAATCAATCTTCATTTGTACACCAACCTGCTAAGATGGCATACTCTGTAGCGCATGCTCCTCAGCACTCTCAGAGCTCTGATGCTGGAAGACAGATCTTTGCTTCGGGTGCCAGAGAGCCTCCTCCAAAGCAAGTACCAAATCCTCTGAAACACAGGATTGCATCTTTAAAACCTTACAAAGGAATGCAATCTCCACTACAACTGCAGCCCAGCCCAGCTGGCTCGCAAGCTAAAAGGGGCTGCATACCTACTTCTTCTCATTCAATATCCTGTAATGAACTTCCACAAAATACATCCCTGCATCAATGCACAATTCCTTCTGAAAGACCCTTGGCAAATAATGATGATGTTCCACAGAAAGGAGAACTTTCTACTAATGGCTTTTCGGCACAAAAATCTAATAAACCTCCTCTGGTTTCCCAGTATCCCTGGCATGCTTGTACACTATCACCATCTTACCTAGGAAGACCCCTGGGAGTTCGGGTACCAATTCAAGGTCCGTCATGTTGTTCTCCTTGTATTTGCAACTGTCAGCAGTATGGCCATATACAATACAGTCCAGCAAATGTTTGGCAAGGCATATGTAATGACAGCCCTGAAAATCATTCAGGTCCTACCCAGGAGAGTACAAAATTAATGTTCCATCAGAATCAAGAATACGTAAATGGTTGCAATCCAGGGTATGCCGCAAGTAGCCATATTAATGTAGGCCATCATGGAATAATAGGGAATTGTTCTCCTGTTAATAATAACACATCCGCTGCAGTAAGAATGCCATCTCCAGTAAATCATGGTAATGCACAGCCATATACAACACATTCAGCTTGTATGAATCTTCCTGCTACAAATACAGTATCAGATAATGAAATGGTTGAATTATCTTCAGATGTTTACAGAATTCTTGGTGAACAGCATAGGCAAATCAAGCTGCTACAGGCTCAGGTTGGTTGTGTTATTTCAATGATCTATTTCCTTACTGAAATATATAATTATATTTGCTCTTTGACATGATTGGTGTGATTTTCAAGCTGGAATTTGGGAGTTTCTGTTTCAATCTCTGAAGAAAGTAGAAGTTTTAATGTAACTTGTGTTTTTATTGTTAATATTTCTTATGCTGGAAAGTCAATATTAAACAGAAGCCAGCTAAATTAATGATTTTCTTTAATTTCCACTACCTGTTTCTGTGTGCTGTGGTATGGTGCCACATAAGAAGATCGTATTATAAAAGGGGCTTTAAAACACTGCCCTATGTAGTTAATAGAAAGGAAAACAGTCTTAAATATATGTAGGATAAATTGTTATCAGGTAATTTATACTAATTGGTTCCCCTTTTATCCAGGCAGTTCAATTAACACAGATTTTGTTTACAGATCCAACAGCTTTTAGAGGCACAAACTCTTCAGTCCTGTGCTTCCAGATCCCTAGAAAACAATAGTGTACAGTCTGAGAAGCAAGTAGAATTTGTTGCCATGGAAACCCAGTCTTCTCCAGGGTTACACATGAAGAAAAGTATCAGCATTGCAGTGAGTACAGGTAATGTTTTATTGTACATTTTCTTTAAATGGCACTAAACTCAGGGGAAAATGCTAAGCATTTAACCATTTTATTCTGGTTGTTCATAGCTCCTGATGAAGCTGCCCATTAATTTCTGCAGAAACCTACTTAGTGACCCATACTATAATATAATATTATGCTTCACATTTACAATTTTGTAAAATAACTGGCTTGTTTTAACTTAATTTGCTCATTAGCACAAAGCAAATATCAATGTTTTTTTTAAAATCAAGCTATGATATTTTCACTTTGACACATTGGACATCAATTACTAAAGCGGTATTTTGTAATGGGATCATAGAACCCTCATCCCTGGTTACAATTATTTATGCCAGTTTTAGGATTACAAACCAGCACTGCATACAAAGACAAACTGGTGATAGATTGCCATTTTTCACATTAACAAATGTTGCACATGCAATAAGAATTAGCTAGTACGTAAACAGATTAGTTTATATCAGTAATGGAGTAAGTACATTGTAAATGGTGCAAAGTTGTTTCAAGATATTCATCACATACAGTATATAGTGCAGCAGCCTAGTTTAAATTGCACAATATTTTTATTTGACTTCCTATAGGTGCCAGCTTGTTTTGGAATACCCCTTTGGAAAACAAGAAAGAGTCTGTGAAAGAAGATGAAGTTGAAATTTCCAATGAAGACATCACTATTTCTATGAGTGCAGAAAAGGACAGTAGTCAAACAAGCATTGCCTCTTCATTAAAAGCTGTTGATATACCCAGCTTTGTTGATAGTGTCCATATTGTTGAAGGAGGAACTAATCAGTCTTCTGCAGGCCTGTGGTAATTTTTTTTTATAAAGTTGAAATATTCTTTCTGACTTCTTTTAAATTTTGCATAAATCTTTTGTTATGTTTAAGTCACCTGTGAGGGTTTTTTTCAGAACTGAAGCTAGTATTTTAATTGACTTGTAGTATGAATACCAGATTGGCTTGGTTTAGCTCTATTCTTGTGCTTTCAGTAATATGTTATATTGCTATATCTATATTCTAGAATATATTGCTCGTAGATAGCAGCCTGGATTGGGTGAATTTAATTGTTCGGCACTATGATATCTTATGCATTTAAACCTCAAAATAAGTTGCCTATATATTTTCTATATTTGCCTCCTATTGAAAATCTAACATTTTAATCCTAAGAATAGGATTCAAAAGCAGCTTGATTCAAAAATAGTGTTTGGATTTGAGTCGAGATAGCTTATTCTCTTCATAGTAGTTACTTTAAATGAATTATATAACAACTTCTATAGCATATAGATTCAATATTTTAATTCTATCTCCAGCAGGGACAGTTTCTCAATTTGCTTTTAAAGGTTGTATTCCATTTGTGAAGATCTGTTCCAATGTTGTTAGTCTCAGTAGGCCTCAAAAATTGGAATAGCATCAATTGTGAAAAATGTGGGAGGGAACAATTTAAACAGTTCATCTCATTCATATCCCAGTCATATTTTTGGTACTATAGTATGTTCATAAATGAGAGGTTTTACTCACATGAATCCTTTATGTGATTGTGAATGCTCTGGTTTCTAGTCTCTTTTTCTTGGAAGCCTCAACTTATAGTCAGGAAAACACCAACAGATGCAATCTGAAGACTTTTTTCAGTATACAGGCATTGACAATGGACTTGCTTTGCAAGGAACTGTCAATTCATGTTTCTTGTTCTGGTCAGGAATAATACATAAAATAAAATTATCTGTAAGATCAGAGTAATTAAAAACATATTTTTCGGGACTTCCGCTGGGAGGGGCTTGCTGATGTGAGCTGGTCGTTACAGCTCCCAAACCCTGGTCGCGTTATCTGTCAGATGACCAATCCATCAGCCATCTGACAGTTTACCTTTTTCTTCGGGCAAGAAGATAAGGTGAGCCATTCTGCCGGGCAACGTGCCAACCGACCCTCACAGTTTGTTTCTGGGAGGGGGGGAAGGCCAGCCGAGGGCAGAATTGTCTCCGTGCCGGGAATTCCAGCTGCAATTTGCAGTGCAAAGCAACACTCAAATCCTCAGAACAAAATTTGATTTATTGAATCCAAGGTGAGCGGACCCTGTATACGTGAACTTTTAATTGTTTGTATTAAACCTTAGCTTCATTTTTACAAGAAATCCTTCTGATAACTTACCTACTAAAGAGACAGTTAAAATGGCGCCGAGCGGCTTCGTAACACTGTTCATNAGAATTAAGTTTATGGTAGTCACAACATAGTCTCAAATCTCCAGTCTTCTTTTTGATGAACAAGATCAGGGCAGACAGTGGTGAAGACGAGGGTCAGATAAAACCCCGAGCTAGGTTTTTGTCCAAGAAGTCCCACAATGCAGCCAACTCCGGGTCTGACATTGAATACAAACGACCCATGGGGAGCGGCACGGCTGGAATCAAATCAATGGGGCAATCATATGGCCGGTGCAGTGGCGATTGGTCTGCTTCTTGTTCACTGAACACGTCTGCAAAATCTGCTATGTCAGAAGGCAAGGACACCCCCGGTGGACTCAGCAACTGACCTGCACAGACTTGATGGGTGTGGTCCACACATTGCAAGGCTGGAAAAGTGACAAGGTTCTGGGACCAGTAGATCTGTGGATTGTGAGCCCCAAGCCAAGACCACAGGGAAATGCAGGCCAGAGGTAATGTAGAACTGGATGGCTTCCTCATGAGCCCCGATGATCAGGCACATGGGTTGTGTGGCAGCCTTGATAGGCCCAGGCAGAAGCACCCTGCCATCAATGGTCTCCACAAGCATAGGAGGATCTACCGGACACAGAGGGTCTGCATACTTGGTCACAAAGGCCTCATCCATAAAGTTTGTGGTAGCCCTGGAGTCAACCAGAGCATGCATCGGAATCCTTTGCGGACTACTGGACAGGACTATTCATGATGCCAGGATCAGGTGTTGGGGAGGCCCACACGTCTGAGCATGGCTCTGAATTGGTGTGCGCCCAACTCAAGGTCTCCCTTAGATCAGGCTTGGGGCGTTTCCCGACAAAATGTTCTGGGGCTGGGGGGTAGGTCCAATAACTGACGCCCCTCATCTCTTCTTGGGGCAAAAGGCTGCCATGTACCCAAGTTCCCCACAATAAAAACACAACCCCCCTGAGCGCCGTCTGTTTTTCTCCATTATCGACAAGCAGGGTTTGGCTGCACCTAATTCCATGGGCTCCTCCCATGGAGTTGGAGTCTCACATATGGCCGGAACCACCCTGTTCTCCTGGGATGTGTGGCGACTTCCCCGCCACTGCAACCGAGCATCAATCCGGAGACACAGATGGGCCAGTGTGTTAAAATTCGGTGGCCTATCCACACATACCAGCTCATCCTGCAATTCTTCTGACAACCCATCCTGAAATTTGTCCATGAGGGCTGCCTCATTCCAAGCCGAATCCTGGTTAAGTAGCCATACTCACTGATGTATTCCTGCAAGGAACGCCGGCCCTGCTTCAGAGTCTTCAGATGTCGGGTAGCCGTCTCTGTCTTAATAGGATCCCCATACATTAACCTGAGGTGGTCACAGAACCCCCTGAAGTCATCCAGTAAAGGGCTAGCCTGGACCAGCAGTGGGGTAACCCAACAAGCTGCAGAGCTGGAGAGAAGGCTAATCATAAACCCCACTTTATCTCGGTCAGTGGGGAAATCCTCTGCTCTCAAACTGATAAACAGCTGGCATTGTCCCAAAAAAGCTGGAAACATGGCTTGGTTGCCATCAAATTTATCAGGCACTGCAACCGGGCATTTCCTCTGAGGCAATGGTGGAGCAGTGTGAACTTGGAGCTGAGCCACCTGGGCAACCAGCACAGCTACCTGTTGCATGAGCTGCGCATTTTCGGCACGAAGCTGCTCCATTGTAGATTATATGTAAATTAGAAGGCAGGAAACAAACTGTTCTGTCTCAAGC